TCTTGCAGATATAGTCATCTAATTATGCCTGTCTGCTGTCGATTTTTATTCCTGAATTACAGAGATTTTGATTATACAAGGGCAAGTCTTATTTCCAAGTTGGTTTCCCTCAACATCTCTCTTAGAGTTGATGCATCTCAGAGAATATAAACTTATTTTCACATTAGGCTGAGCCAGCTGTAGGTGAGAACACTTCCTGAATAGAACCCGGACTCTGAGTTGAACTCAGATATGTATACTCTCCAGATTTGCTGGGAACAGAGCACAAGTGAAATGTTGGGATCAGAGTTTTGCTCAGATTTTAGGGGTCCCCAAGCCCTGCTGGGAACATGACTTGGGGGTGGAAATTGTGGGGACCAAAAGAAGACTATAGAACTCCCTAGTTGTGTATTCCTTGAGAAAGACTAGAGGGTATACCCTGTTTCTGGGTCAGTTTCAGAACTAGAGATCCCTATATTCTTAAAAGTGGCAATGATAATTCAGGATTCTGGCTTCCTCCTTACATACTCACGTGGAAAATGGTATCCCCTAAGCCAGCCTCACACCACCAATTGACTAACTTTTGTTTTTCCCCACTGAAGACTCCAGGATGAGTTTTTTTCTTTTCTGTTCACTCGCTGAAAGATGTCTGCAGTCACTTCTTGTTTCCATGAAAAGCAAAGGGTGGATTCATTCACAGCACAGATCCAAGTCGCCGCCCCACTGTACACTGCAGTCCTTAATCTGGCCATGACTTCTGCTTCCTGCCCTGGAACCACCACTCTGTCGCCTTACCTAATTTCCATTTCCATCCCAACACTAACATGTGTTATTTCCTGGGCCATTCTTCACAGAGTTGGCGGGTCTGTGTTCTGTTTTTCTCACGTTGTAAGAATGGCCAGATTCACAGGGAAATGAGGGAACCGCAGAGCCCCCATTGATATGTACATGCTGGGTATCTCCAGAAATGCTCAGTGGCTGCTCATCTCAACACCCCTGCTGAATGGCCGATGCACTTTGTGTTTGCACCTCCACAAAATGATACATCCGCCATGCGAGAGCCTCGCCCAGTTGAAGCCACTGTTGCTCGGTCCCTAGAAGTGGGGCATCCTGTACAATCAGCCGCTCCCACCACAGGCACGATCTGCCCAGTTAGGTATAAACCCACAAATGAGTTACCCATAGTAAAGGAGTTAGAATGCAATTACGTACAATACACTTAATATCAAAACTATAGGAGTGATAATGGAATTTATTTTGTAACGTGGGGAGGTATTTCAGAATTGGGCATTGTCTTTGTTTGGATGTACTCGCTGTAACTTCTCTCAGGAGAGAGTGTGGAGGGGGTACAGAAGAGAAGCTGGGGGAGCTCTGGCTGCCTTGGGGTGGGAGACACTGTCTTCCTCTGTAATCTGGGAACAGGTGTGCTTCATGCCACAGCAGTGAGTGCCACGTGGTCATACATTGGCAAAGGCAGAACATGAACTTCCCATTTTCTAAGCTAATTGCCAAGGGCCTTTGTAACATTCTTAATATGTTAAGAACCTTAAACAGCTGGCTGGTATCAAATAAAATAATGGAAGTGGTGGGAAAGATCATTCTTTTGATGAACAAGTTGCTTCACATTGTGCCTAGCACTGGTGCTCGGTCTCAGTCCCCAGGAAGGCAAGGACATGCCTTTTCCTTCATCAGAGGCAGTGGAGCATGGATGTTGAAATCCCAGCTCTACCGCTTTCATGTTGTGTGACCTCTGGCAAGTTAGTGCTTCAGTGTCCCCATTTGTAAAAGAGAATTCTGCTACTTGCCTCGTAGTGTCATTGTTGGAATTAAACGAGTTAATGTAAAGCACCTAGAACAGTGCCTGACACATATTATTGCTGTTAAAATGTATTATTATTATTAATTATTATTAATATCACTAGCAGCAGCTATGTGCATCTCCCCGCTGGTCTGTCTGCTGATCTCCGTGTCTCCCGAGTCTTCTAGAAATACTCCTGAGAGCCTTTTAACTGCTTGGAACTGCTAATCTGGGGTTGCTGTGCTGCCAGGTCATCCAGTCACATAACCAGCTGTTCCTCAACTTTTACTTTGTGGGCTTTCTTCTCTGAATCTGCTGCTGGGCAGCTGTCTTTATCTGGTTTCATCCAACTTCTAAATACAGTCCTGTCTGTCATCAGGTTCCCTGGGTGTGGCAGTTGAGAATCAGCCTTCATCTTATTCCAACTGGATGTTCTTCTGACATTTTATCATTTCTGAAGGCAGAATGTAACAGACAGCTTTGGGGCACATTGCTTCCAGGGCCTGATGCAAGGGTAAATCGGAGTTCCTTCCTAGAGCTGGCAGTGAGGCGGGGCGATTGATCCCCTGCTTTGCCTCACACCAGCATTGACCAGCTGACAGGCCCATTAACAGTGGAGGGTTCCCGCTAGTGTCTAAGAGCTGACCTGGCATTGGTTCTGGTGTAATTGAATGCTTTGGGAAATTTGATTAAAATGTGAAAAGGATGCTTCCCGGCACAGAGCTGTAAAGACAGGCTGGTATTATCCTAAAGACAGGACCAGTTGTTCCTGCTGCTTTAGCTATCTCTGAAGGGACAGTTGGCCAGGAGACCTGGCGCACTGTGTCATGAAGTTTAGCTCTGCCTGATGGAGAGAGTAGTGATGAGTTGAAGGCTTGCTTGTTGCCTTTGAAAAGGACCTTATGAGTCCCCTAATGCAGTGGCCTTTCTGCCTTGCTCTTAATACAGTTCTTATATAAGGGAATTACTGGCCCACTGTTTTTCTGACAAAACCAGATGGCCGCACTGCCACATTCACCAGGGACTTCTGAGATTTGTGCCAGGCTTAGTATTTGCCTGTCTCACAGAAAAACTAAGAAGATGTTACCTAGAATATTTTGTTTGTTTGTTTTTGTGTGTATTTTTCCTGAAAAGCCGGCTTCTGATCTGAAGAACCAGAGCAGACACCCATATGTCACTTTTTATTGATCCATTGTTCTTCAGCCCTCTGTCTGTAGCTCACCCGGTCATGATCACAGATTTTCATGTGCGTTTCCGATTATGTGCGGAAACCATGGACTCCCCAGTGGAGTACAGTTTCAGCTTGGAGAGGCTTCATCACAGCACTGATACAAAAAGACAAACAGAAATCTGACTTGCCATGTTATCCATCCAATAAAAAACCACCCAAGGGGAGAGGAATGGATATTCATCATGTCCCAGCAACTCAGCCAAGCCTGCAAGTTTAAGGACAATATTTCTAGGTGAATTTAGAAAACCTTTCTTTGGCAAAGCTGAGAGTTCTCCTGACAGCTCTTTTCCCCAGCAGCCAGCCCATCTGGGATAGAACAAAGAGAGTACTACCCAACTGATTTGGGCTGGATAGCGGTTTCTACTTCCCCAGCGATTTGTGTAGCATTGTGGAGGTTTGAATACTTTTCCATAAGTTAAGCAGAACTTCCTCTTCATGCTGCCTGCTTTTGCTTTTATCTGTAGTCAAGTGTTGGCTGCTGAGGTGGCCTCTGCCCTGTTTTAGCATGAGCAGAATAGCAGCATTGGCTTGAAAAGAGATTCAAGAAATGATTATGGGATTATTCAGTTGGCTTATCACCAGAGAATTTATCTGTTACAAAGGTCACATAGATTTTTTTGTTGTTGTTATGGAATTTCTACCTTAGCAACTGTCCCTGTGTGTATTTCTAGAGCACTTTTGTTACTATGTCTTCTTCCTAGTATCTAATTTTTTCCAGAAAGTTCTTTTGTTTAATGAAAGTTCTGTGAAAGAGGTGAGGGTGAGAGACTTACCTATAGTATGAAGCTGAAAAGCTATATTTCAAGGAAAGAGTGGTTTGATTTGAATTTCAGCAGGTTGGGGAAATCTAATACTTAAAATGTGTCTCCTCTGCATTTGGAAACGTCAGCTTCCCCTGTGCAAGTGGGATATGTTTTTATTTTTCTTACTAAAAACAAGGGGTGGACTTAGCCAGGTTTCCTGGTCCTGCCAAATTGATCTGAGCTGGAAGTTAGCTATGGTGCATAACTTGATATGTGCCTTGGGATTATTCTATGCATACTGTTGGCAATTCTGATATTTAAAAGTAAACATGGTATGCTAAAGAATGAATGTATGAATGTTCACATCTGATTTTGAAAAAATACACATGGTGATGGGAGACATTGATTCCATCCACCAATACTTACCAAGTAGCTGCCATGGCCCAGCACTGACTTAGCTCTAGTTACAGAATGAACAGGACAGCATGGCCCCTGACTCATGGAGTTGATGGTCCGGGCGAGGGTGGGGGCGGGGGGAGAGACAGTAGAGTCTTCTTCAAATAAGACTCCTTGTTGAGTCAACCCAGCTTATTGCTTTCACGGAGCAGGATGACAGGCAGGGTCAGCTGAGCCTAGCTTGCTTGGTTCAGAAGACGTAGAAACTGCTGTTCCCTCCATTGGTTATGTGGTCTAAGTGGGTCACATGTACCTGTGTTCTTCCTCATTTTGAAAACCACTCTGTCACCTCTTGGGATGATGTAAAGATGGATACAGTTACAATCCACTTTTGGTTTCTCAGAAGTAGAATATTCTGTTTGTTTCTTCTTGATTTGCTTTTCTTACCTTGTTATTCTAGCAATCACTAGGACTTCCAACAGAGGAAAGGACTGGAAAAAGACACGACAGTAAACTCAGGCTGAACATTTTGGGCCCAAGGATCAAGGATACAGAGTACACAGACTGACATTGTGAGGGCAAGCAAGTTTGGGGGGTGGGGGATTTCACTGTCCTCTGGTCCATAAAGTGAGGGCTGTGAAATATGTTCATTCCTTCAAGGAAGTGCTATATAAATGCATGGTGACAGTAGCAGAATACTTGCTATTTACTGAAAGTGATCAGGATTTTCTGGTGACATCTCCATATTTAGGAAATTGTCTCAGAGGAGGCAGAGGGTGGCAGTTTGATTTGTCTTCAGAATGCTGATCTTTCACTTTTTGGGAGGTTTTATACATTTTTTTTTTCTTTACAGAATGAAGTTGGCCTACTGGAGTTCTTCCAAAATGTGATGAAAGAAACTAGGGCAGAGCCCAAAAAAGTGACTAGTTGGGTCCTCAACACTTTCCTGGGTTTTTTAAAGCAACAGAACCTTGCTGTCAGTGAGAGGTGAGTGGGGTCTAGGGATTTCTTCTTGTTTTGAGATGAACTCTTTGTCCAGGAGCAGTTGAAATAGGGCAGGACCAGTGTTTTACTCTTCCTGTTCCCCTCAGTATCTCCTGACAAGACACAAACATCCCCTGGGAATTCCAAATTCTAAAGCTTTTCTTATGAAAACTCTGACTGTCCACAATGTCCTCTGTACTGTGGATGAATAGAACAAGGAGTTTGCAAGGTTGAGGGGCTACAGAACTATAAGAAGACAGACAGTGGGAGATCAAGATGGTGGCAGAGTAGGTGGATGTTACACTCACCTCCTCCCTGGACCAAACTGAATTACAACTAAAATATAGAATAGTCAGCCAGAATAACCAACTGAAGACTAGCTGAAGAGAAGTCTTATAACCAAGGATTTACAGAAGAAGCCACATCGAGACTGGTAGGAAGAGCAGAGTTGTTTGTTTGTTTTTGTGTGTATTTTTCCTGAAAAGCCGGCTTCTGATCTGAAGAACCAGAGCAGACACCCATATGTCACTTTTTATTGATCCATTGTTCTTCAGCCCTCTGTCTGTAGCTCACCCGGTCATGATCACAGATTTTCATGTGCGTTTCCGATTATGTGCGGAAACCATGGACTCCCCAGTGGAGTACAGTTTCAGCTTGGAGAGGCTTCATCACAGCACTGATACAAAAAGACAAACAGAAATCTGACTTGCCATGTTATCCATCCAATAAAAAACCACCCAAGGGGAGAGGAATGGATATTCATCATGTCCCAGCAACTCAGCCAAGCCTGCAAGTTTAAGGACAATATTTCTAGGTGAATTTAGAAAACCTTTCTTTGGCAAAGCTGAGAGTTCTCCTGACAGCTCTTTTCCCCAGCAGCCAGCCCATCTGGGATAGAACAAAGAGAGTACTACCCAACTGATTTGGGCTGGATAGCGGTTTCTACTTCCCCAGCGATTTGTGTAGCATTGTGGAGGTTTGAATACTTTTCCATAAGTTAAGCAGAACTTCCTCTTCATGCTGCCTGCTTTTGCTTTTATCTGTAGTCAAGTGTTGGCTGCTGAGGTGGCCTCTGCCCTGTTTTAGCATGAGCAGAATAGCAGCATTGGCTTGAAAAGAGATTCAAGAAATGATTATGGGATTATTCAGTTGGCTTATCACCAGAGAATTTATCTGTTACAAAGGTCACATAGATTTTTTTGTTGTTGTTATGGAATTTCTACCTTAGCAACTGTCCCTGTGTGTATTTCTAGAGCACTTTTGTTACTATGTCTTCTTCCTAGTATCTAATTTTTTCCAGAAAGTTCTTTTGTTTAATGAAAGTTCTGTGAAAGAGGTGAGGGTGAGAGACTTACCTATAGTATGAAGCTGAAAAGCTATATTTCAAGGAAAGAGTGGTTTGATTTGAATTTCAGCAGGTTGGGGAAATCTAATACTTAAAATGTGTCTCCTCTGCATTTGGAAACGTCAGCTTCCCCTGTGCAAGTGGGATATGTTTTTATTTTTCTTACTAAAAACAAGGGGTGGACTTAGCCAGGTTTCCTGGTCCTGCCAAATTGATCTGAGCTGGAAGTTAGCTATGGTGCATAACTTGATATGTGCCTTGGGATTATTCTATGCATACTGTTGGCAATTCTGATATTTAAAAGTAAACATGGTATGCTAAAGAATGAATGTATGAATGTTCACATCTGATTTTGAAAAAATACACATGGTGATGGGAGACATTGATTCCATCCACCAATACTTACCAAGTAGCTGCCATGGCCCAGCACTGACTTAGCTCTAGTTACAGAATGAACAGGACAGCATGGCCCCTGACTCATGGAGTTGATGGTCCGGGCGAGGGTGGGGGCGGGGGGAGAGACAGTAGAGTCTTCTTCAAATAAGACTCCTTGTTGAGTCAACCCAGCTTATTGCTTTCACGGAGCAGGATGACAGGCAGGGTCAGCTGAGCCTAGCTTGCTTGGTTCAGAAGACGTAGAAACTGCTGTTCCCTCCATTGGTTATGTGGTCTAAGTGGGTCACATGTACCTGTGTTCTTCCTCATTTTGAAAACCACTCTGTCACCTCTTGGGATGATGTAAAGATGGATACAGTTACAATCCACTTTTGGTTTCTCAGAAGTAGAATATTCTGTTTGTTTCTTCTTGATTTGCTTTTCTTACCTTGTTATTCTAGCAATCACTAGGACTTCCAACAGAGGAAAGGACTGGAAAAAGACACGACAGTAAACTCAGGCTGAACATTTTGGGCCCAAGGATCAAGGATACAGAGTACACAGACTGACATTGTGAGGGCAAGCAAGTTTGGGGGGTGGGGGATTTCACTGTCCTCTGGTCCATAAAGTGAGGGCTGTGAAATATGTTCATTCCTTCAAGGAAGTGCTATATAAATGCATGGTGACAGTAGCAGAATACTTGCTATTTACTGAAAGTGATCAGGATTTTCTGGTGACATCTCCATATTTAGGAAATTGTCTCAGAGGAGGCAGAGGGTGGCAGTTTGATTTGTCTTCAGAATGCTGATCTTTCACTTTTTGGGAGGTTTTATACATTTTTTTTTTCTTTACAGAATGAAGTTGGCCTACTGGAGTTCTTCCAAAATGTGATGAAAGAAACTAGGGCAGAGCCCAAAAAAGTGACTAGTTGGGTCCTCAACACTTTCCTGGGTTTTTTAAAGCAACAGAACCTTGCTGTCAGTGAGAGGTGAGTGGGGTCTAGGGATTTCTTCTTGTTTTGAGATGAACTCTTTGTCCAGGAGCAGTTGAAATAGGGCAGGACCAGTGTTTTACTCTTCCTGTTCCCCTCAGTATCTCCTGACAAGACACAAACATCCCCTGGGAATTCCAAATTCTAAAGCTTTTCTTATGAAAACTCTGACTGTCCACAATGTCCTCTGTACTGTGGATGAATAGAACAAGGAGTTTGCAAGGTTGAGGGGCTACAGAACTATAAGAAGACAGACAGTGGGAGATCAAGATGGTGGCAGAGTAGGTGGATGTTACACTCACCTCCTCCCTGGACCAAACTGAATTACAACTAAAATATAGAATAGTCAGCCAGAATAACCAACTGAAGACTAGCTGAAGAGAAGTCTTATAACCAAGGATTTACAGAAGAATCCACATCGAGACTGGTAGGAAGAGCAGAGATGTGAAAAGAGCTGGCCCCGCTCCCACAGGCAGTGGCTGAGATTCTGGAGGGATATCTCAGCTGCAAAAGTTCCCACTGAGAAGCATGGGGTCTCAACCCGAGGCCAGGCTCCAAAGCCAGGAAGAGGCACCCACATAATACTGGCTGTGAAAATCAGCAGGGATTTTGTCCGCTGGGGAGAGACAGCAGTCTGCTAAAGACACAAGTGCTCTCTTAAAGAGCCAATGCACAAAAATCTCATTTGCAGCCACTCACCTTGGGCTCCATAAGAGGGAGGGCGGAACGGACTAGAGTTATGTGAAGGAACAGCTTCTAGGATCCCTCTGCTGAGTTATTCTCCCACACCACAGACACCATCTTTCTTGGGTGGAACACTCCCCTCCTTACAGAATCCCCCAAGCTTGATCAGCACCTTCCCCTCATGAGAGATACACTAGCCCCATCCTTCCAACTCCCAGCAGCCCCACCCTGCTGAGTCGGGCTCTTGGCAGAATCTGGACAGACTGAGCCCTGTAGTTCTAGGACAAGGGACTCTTCCCTCGACCAATGGGGAGCCCTCCCTTCACATGGCTGAGTCATGGGACTGATAAACTCTGCTGGTCTTACCCTGATGATTTCCTGAGACCCCACCCACTACAAAGATGTGCGAGCACCCAGTAGGTGGCACACTTAACTTGGTATACCTAGGGACCTTTCCTGAGTGGCCTCAAACCCATTACTGGCACCGAGTTTGAACCTCAGTCTGGTGAATACCACTTACCCCTACTTGATGACTTGCTGAGAACCTACCTCATGCACCTTGAGTACCGCCAGAGGCTATTTCAGTAACTGAGCCTGACAGGCAGCCTGCAGATGGAGGCAGATTGAGGTGGATCTTAGGGTACAATGGGACTTTTGCTGACCTGCCCCTGGGCCTGGTGCTGGTAAAAGCCGGCCTTTGCGCAGCTTGATCCTTCCCACACATACCCAGGCCCAGCAGAGGCAGCCACAAATTGTGGATCGCTTTGTAGTTCCAATCTGGTTGCCCATGGTCAGTCACAGCAACGTCTGACATTGGCCTGCACCAGAGTCCCTCCCAAGAGGCCCCAGAACAGTATACCCAGTGGCTAGCTTAAGACAGCATCAGAGCGGGATCCAATAAGCTTCACAAGTGGCATTTCCAAGGGAGATCTCAGCAGGCACTAGACGCTAAGGTGAATTCTGCTTCCTGTGGTTAGCACCTGCACAACAGCTCAGACACTATGATACAGGTCAATCCTCACTGTCAGCCAGCCTGAGGGTTGACCCAACGCATGGGCCATAGCAATCAAAGACTCAATTACAACAGCCGGACCCACATAAAACATACAAGGGACATTCCTGGAGCACCCAGTTGAGGTGATCAAGGAGATTGTGCCACTGGGCTCCCACAGGACACCTACTACTTACATCCATCCTACCAAGAGTGGGAGTCACAGCAGATCTACCTACCATAGAGAAACAGAGTCAGCCAAAATGAGGAGAAAATAAACATGCCCCAAATGAAAGAATAGGATAAATCTCCAGAAAAACAAGCTAAATGAAATGGAAGCAAACAATTTTTCAGGTATAGAATTTTTTTAAAAAGATTATAAGGCTGCTCAAGGAACTTAGTGAGAAATACAACAACATGAAAAAGGACATAGAAACCATTATAAAAAACAAGTCAGAAATGAAGAATACAATAGAAGGAATAAACAGTAGGTTGAATGAAGCAGAGGACTGAATCGGTTATTTGGAAGACACAGTAGAGGAAAACATCCTGTCACATCAGCAAAAGGATAAAATAACTTTAAAAAATGAGGATAGCTTAAGGGACCTTTGGAACAA